TAGGGAAAGCGAAATATTTCAGGAGATTGGAGGCCTGTAAAAATAGATGATGCAGTGGTGGAAACTCCAGGACTTCTCTACGCAAACATCTGATGCTGTACATAGAACTGGCCACCTGCTTTCTCCAATGTGAAATATCAGTGATCTTGCAAGTTTTTTTCCAGCTCAGATTCTCTGCTTCCACTATATGAATGGATGACTAGTAGATGTTAAAATGTGAATTGGTGATAGTTAACTTTTAACAAATTTCAACCAAAGACATTCCTCAGAGTATAAAATTATAGTTTGCTGTTTGATTATATCCTTCTTTTTACCTGCAGCAAGAGATGGAATAAACAGATGAAAGAGCATAATTGTGACCTGGAACTTTCAATAAATAATTGAGTTTGGATAAATTTGATTTCCTGGTGAGATAGTTTGAATTATCAGGGTTGTCTCTCAGGACTAGGAGATCCTTCTGAAGCAATAATCAGATTTTCTGACCAGGGCAAGGAAGAAAGTACCTAATCAAACTCAAGGTAGATCTACAAAGAGTGTTGTGGGTTTTTCAGGGTTTTTTTTTCAGATATGTTTTATATCAGATGAAGCTAAAAGGCTTTTTAGTCCAATGTTCATCTACAGCAGTGGTTGGCAATGGAGTAGGAAAGAATAAAAAAGCAAGTACGTGGTGACACTTCACAGCGCAGTTTTACAGCAATCTATTTACACAGCAGTTTTTTGCAATCTATAGCATTGAGACTTTGTATTTGACTCAGAGTTCATAAGCCAGGTAAGCGTTGAGTATTCAGAGTCCTAAGGGAATGAATTCCATAGATGGACTAAGTGTTCAATGAAGAAGCAGTTTCACTTGTTTGCTTAGTGGTGCTTGTTTTGATGCTTCCGGCTTTGTGTTAAAGCGACAGCAAACAATCTTTTGCCACTTGCATTCCCCAAGCCACTCATTAGGTGTCTGTAGGTCTGTCATAGCCTCCCCTCAATCTCCTTTCCAAGCTGAAGAGTCATAGTTCGATTCCCCCCAGGACAGAAGCAGCTCCATACCTTGGATTGTCCTTGTCACCCTTCTCTGACTTTTTCTGGTTTGCTATCTGCTTTATGAGAGTAGACTCTCCAGAGCTGCACATGGTGTTGAAGATAAGTCTGTAGTGAATTTATATGATTACATTAAACTTTCTGGTTTACTCCCTTAATTCCGTATCTATTTCTAATTTTTTTTTTTTTCCCTTTTTGACTGTTGCTGAGCACTGACCACAAGTGCTCATGCTTGCACGTTATTGTTGAACATAACGCTGAACAACTTTCTGAAAATTCCCTGAAAACTGTAGGGTCTTCCCCAAGTAATTGGTACAAGTTACTTTTAACCCTGTAGTGGATTTTAAGTTAATTTTACAGGTGGTGTCTCTGAACACATGTTTCTGTTTATTGAAGTTCTGTAAAGGCTATCATGTGCTGCTGAAAACAGGCCTTAATGCCTAGTTCCAGCAGTTTGTAAGGAGGATTAAATAAGGGTAAGTGTCAAGATGAAGTCCAACCTTTTTCAAACTGGCGTGAGGAAGTTCTTGGAGTAAGAGGTAGTCAAATCTGAGACTTCCGACAGTCATCTTTTGGGACTTTAACCGAAGCTGTTCTGGAATAAATCCCTTCTAACTCCCTGTGTGTCAGAATTTAGAGCTGTATTTTTACAATATTGTTTGTATCCAGAGGGAGAGTTTGATTATTTGCTGTGGTGTTTACCAGCTTTAGAAAAAGCTGGCCTAGCTTAAAATATTTGTTGGATGTCTTATATCAGCGTGTTTTTGTAACTTGGGAAGAAAGTACATCTGGTTAGAACATGAATCTTGAAACGATTTTGTTTCTGCTTCCAGATGACTCTTTTCCTAACTGACCTCAAATGGAAAAGGTCTAATAAGAATTATTGTAAAGCCTCATGCTATGTAAAAGATAAGGATTTGAAAATGTGGGAAAGATACTGTGGAAGTGTAGCGAATATTTGATTTTATAGAGAATTGCCGAAACTGTATCTCACTTTCTGTCTGCTTTAGGAGGCTATTCAAATGTCAGCACTTGAATTACGTTCTGAAAAGATGGTTTGAAACAGGTTTTCTGTCATATTCTTTATTAAGATCTTTTACAAGTAAATATTTAAACAGAGATTGAGTGTATGAATGATATCTTTTTAAGTCTCTGGAAATACGTGAATAAATGCATTTACAGGGAAAAGGCCTACCCTGCACTTCAGATGTGAAATATGTCATTCTGTTATTGGTTCTTTAGAACTGAAATTGAAAGTGTTATGCTGTTTCACAATACTTAAGTAAACTTCCACTGAGTCATAAAGCAATGAATTTTACTAAGCAAGATTATAACATTTAATCTGTCAAGTACCATAGTTGCTAGTATTCTTCAAATTATTACTGGTTTTTTTTTTTTTTTCGGGTGATTCTGACAGACTTATACTTTCTATGGTAATAGCAGAATTGTGGGGTTTTTTAATTATTTATTGTTAAAAACTTGTGGAACTTCTTTTGTTCTTGGCTTTTTGATTCTTAAATTTAATGCAAACATTCTCAAATAAAATGAAAATATTTTCCCATAACATATTTTCTTTGTGAAGGGATTTAACTATTCAAAATTGCTATTATTTGCCAAAATCTGAAATAGCTGCCTTTGTTATCATAAGCTTTTTGGTTGAACTATATCCATCTGTTGGATAAATATCTGGGGAAAAAAAATGAGTTATTTCCTTTTGCTTTCTTATTTTCTGATGATCAAATGTAGTTTTGCATTTTCTGGGCTTATTTTAGTCTGTCAGCTTAGAAGAGTAGCAAATTCATATATTGTGGAAATAAATTCTATAGTGGGATCCACAAAGTTTTATTGAATTATTTTCCTTTCAGGTTCTGTGCTTTCAGGAGTTATTTCCAAAAGTCAGTGTTCTGGATACCACTTTAACTCTATTCTTCAAAAGGATTTTTCAGACTTCAGTTTATAGATTGCTTTTCCGCGCACATTTCCTTTTTATAAAGAGAACTTGGTCATCATGTGAAATATGAAATAGTTTTTGCAGTTCAGAGCAACTCTAAAATCAAATTCAGGTTAACCCATTAGATGTGCAAACAGACTTTGATTGCCCAGGTGAAATAGGATGTATTTGTTCTGATTTCTTCCTAATATAATAAAATATATAGACTGACATCAAAAAGCAATTTCAGACTAGTGGTCACTAACATGTTTTTAGAAGTTGTAGCCGTTGGGAAGTGATTAGTAGTGTAACACAACTGGTTAAAATAGAAAGTGAAGTCGAAGAGGTGTGTGGTAGTTTCTTTTTTATTGTTATTATTTTGTTGATTTCCCTCTGCCCCCGTGAAATATTAGAAGTTGAAAGTGCATTCTTAGCCAGAGGACAGAGATATGCACTGCCTGAGTTGTGTGTAGCCTGGGTTGTCAAAGATACCTAGTATAGGATACCCGGCAGAAGGACTTAGATGAATTTTAAGCTCTGTAAATCTGGACTATGGCTGCTTAGTTGGTGGTTTTGGTATAATGTTAGTGACTTCTGCCTGAGGTTTCCTCAGTTCACGTGTATTCCCTGTGCCTTCACACTGTTCCCCTCTGCTCTGTAAGCCACAGTCTGTTTTAGTTTCTAGAACTAGAAAACTTCCAGACCAAACTTTCAGCTTGGGTTGTAACTTTGTAGCCTCGCTGCTTTGAATCGCACAGAATCATTAAGGTTGGAAAAGACCTTTAAGATCATCAAGTCCAACCAGCAACCCAACACCACCATGCCCACTAAACCATGTCCTGAAGTGCCATGTCCACACGCTTTTTGAACACTTCCAGTGATGGTGACTCCACCACCCCCCTGGGCAGCCTGTTCCAATGTTTGACCACTCTTTCAGTGAAGAAATTTTTCCTAATATCCAATCTAAACCTCCCCTGGCGCAACTTGAGGCCATTTCCTCTCATTGAAGGAATGCCATAGACTGGTGTGAAATAATTCAAAGCAAAATGTACCTTATAACTAGCCAGATAAATTTCCATTTTCGTAAGTATCAGAATAATTCCTCCTCCCACAGTGTTATTACTCTCGTCTGCCTTCTGATACCTGAGTTGTATAACAAATGGGACACCTAGGAGTCTGCATATGTCAAAGTTCATGGTAAAAAGTCTTCTTTAGGAAGTAGAATATAAGGTAATTATGAGGCAGTTGGGATTTTTTTTAATAATTATTTCTGAAAGGTGGAAAATAGGAGAGAGAGCTATCCTGCCGATGATTCTAGCATACATGCTTCCCTCCTCTTGGGAATCTGCGTGTTAAGCCTTCTCCTCTCATGGTCTGGTCTTTCCCTTGATGTTATGTGTATTCTCATATGTGTCCTGAGTCTTAGGCCTTGCCCTCCATAAGTCACTTTACGCACTGTTCTTCATGTAAAAGAAAACACAGGATTACCGTGAGCAAGATACAATATCCTGCTATGTCGTGAAGCCTCACTGAATGGGATTTATGTTCAATACATTGAATTTATGGCAGTAACACGTGACGTAAAACAAGTCTGCTATGCTCAGTCTGTTCCGCAATTGTGAAATGACAGCATTAGGTCAATCGCTAGCACTTTTGCAGCTGAGATCCAGATGTTGGATCCGACCAATAAAATACTGGTTTAAAAGCATTCAGACTGCTTATAATCAACCCATGACAATGAATGCAGACCTTGAATGTTACAACTGTATACACTTTCTTTAAAGGGATGTGGGTAGAAAGACTTTAAGCTCAGAGGAAAGAGCTGCATAGTCAAACAGGTGAAAGAGCTACCTGATGCACAGCTCCTGAGCTATATATTGAAGTGGCGTTTGAGTAGCGTGGGGTTTTCTTAACTCTTACATTTATTGTTATTTCATTTCACTATAACTCTACTTCTTTTTCAACAAAAGTAAGTTATTCTTAAGTTACATACAAATTATTTATCCCAATCTTTATATGCCTTTATGTTACTTCCTTGTAGGCCAAATTAGTCTGAAGAGTCCACAGGATATTCAGGTCTATGTTCTAAATACAAATTTCACTTTGAGGTGGAACTACACTGGGGATGATACCAATGTGACATTTTCAGCAGAGTACCAGTTGTAAGTATTAACTTTAGTCTGAGCTAGAAATGTCGGACTCTTATTTGTGTAGAAGAACATATTAATTAATTGCTGTGCTTCTTGATAGTGCCATGTAAAACTTCTAGAGACTTGAAATCCAGGAAGTAGAGGCCAAGTCTTGAAATGAAGTGGAATCTTAGTATTGTCCTTCATATGTCTAATTCATGTGTAAAATTAGACTGTTCACTGATAGCGACATGTTACTAATGCAGAATGCACTTGGTAGTAATGCTTAATACTAGAGTGGTTCTTTGAGAAGATTAACTTGTACACTTAGAAATGTAGTATTTAGATTTATTTATTCTCTGTTTTGTTTTCTTAATTAAGCTAAACTATGGCCACACACACACAGAATTTGAGAGAATTTTCAGTGTAGCTTTTGAATAATTTGTCAGCATTTATGAATCCAGATTTCTCATCTGCAAATTTTAATCACCAGATAAAACAATTTAACATTTGTTCTTAAATGTTTGCTTGGTTTTCGTCAATTGTTTCATATACCAATACTTATGCATACATATACATTCGGTATTTTGTGGTACTTGCCTGACAAGTACATATTAAAAAACACTTCTAAGTTAAAATCACTTAAGAAGTTCTTGATTGTAGGATTTCCTAGTGTATGGTTTAACTCACAAGAAAAATAGCTTCTGTAAAGCTAATTATTCCAACACTTATTGCTGAACTCTAGTTTTCTTCTTTGTGTTTTTCTTTTCCCCTAATCTACTTTCTTTGCTAATGGCGGGGGGGGGGGGGGGGGGGGGGGAACCTGCTGCTTTTATGCTCTTTTAAGCACTTATTGCCATCAAGGCTTTAAAATTTGTTCCAATGAATTATAAAATCAATTGCCAGAGCAGGATTGCGTACTAAGGATATAATTCTGAATTTTGACAATTCTTTGATGCTGTTTTCTGACACTGTGTGGGTTTACATGGTGAATAAAGTAAACGGGTATCAGACTTTGCAGGCTAATATTTAACCTTTGGTAATAAGGCTAAACTAATACATTAATAGATTAGATTAATGAATTAAATGGTTATATGAATTCCAGGGTAACGAAGTAGATAACACTGATTACACTGGTGCTGGTGATAAAACAGCATTAAATGGTGTGACATTTATTAGCATAAAGAAGAAAAGGAAAAAGAATCTTGAGACTTAAATTGTGCATTGGTTTTATTTTTGGGGGTTTCTTTCTTACAGGCTTGAAGATTTTGAGACAAATGAAACAGAATGGAAGGAGGTGCCTGGGTGTCAAAATGTTACTCACATGGAATGTGACTTTTCCTCAGCAATAACCGAATACTATGATAAACACCATGTGCGTATAAGGGCTGAAAGAAGGGAAGAAGTGTCTCCATGGTCTAGCATTTTTGAAATGATTCCATATTTTATAGGTATGAGCTCCGTACATAATGTAACATTTTTAGTTAAATGTCCTTCAGCACGTTATTGTGGAAAAAATGCATGTGTGTTTTTTGGTGTTTTTCCTTTAAATAGTTATGCTTGACTTTCTTTTAATATTTGCAGCTCAGATCGGTCCCCCAGGAATAGAGTTACAGTCCGTTAATGGAGTCATAAAAATTAAGGTTTCTCCTCCAGAAGCAAATCAGGTTCAAAAAATGTGGATAGATGATCTAAGTTTTACATATAATCTAGTTATCTGGGAAAATGCGTCAAATGCAGAGGTATGATCGTTGTGGGTTTTTTTTTACTTTTAACATGACTGTCACATGTGTGCTTTAATTGCTTAGTGCTTTGAAATGGAATTACTTAATTATGTAATTGTGTATAAGTGTTGCTGTGCAGTTTAAAAGTTGGGTGGAAGTGTTTGCTTGGAGTTTTTTGGTTTTGGTTTTTACTAGAGGATTGTATTAGATATTTTGTGATAAGAGTTTTGTATTTCTGTTAAATGCGGGAGCCACTTTCCAATGCATAAGTGTTAAAGGAGAAGCCACTGCCTGAGCACTCACACACCAGTCAAGGAGTTGCACACACACCACCCGAGACTTTAACTGCTCGGACAGTGGGCGACTCCAGTGAGCCGACGGGTGCCCCTTTTGACTCCTCGCGCGCGCACACACACACACACACACACACACACACACACACACACTCCCTCTCGAGTGTGTCCTCTTCCCTCAGGCTCGACCCTAGGTTTCCTGAAACAGAATCTCCCAATATGACGTACACCAGATGAATTTATTAGGTGGTACAGCGGTGTAGAACAGCTCGAGCTGGGTGCCTCTGGAGAGGGACCATGAACAAAAGAATCTCTGGGCAATGACTTGCAGTCAAGTTCCCTTCCCCTCACGAGGCAGTTTGGTCCTATTGGAGTATTTGGGTCTGGGATCTCCTTGTTCCTCACTGGATCCTTTCACTGTCTCCAGGCAGGCTGTTCTTTTTTTCTTCTCAAGGAGGCAACTTCTGCTGATGGATGTGGCTATCTTATCTTTCTAATTTACACTGATTTTGGGGCCTTCCCTCATGTAACCAAGTAAGAGTTCAGTGCAAGTTTGTCAGTATCTAGATGAAAGTTAGCACACAGCTTGTGGCCTAAGGCTTTTTACTAATGCTATACAATGGATTCCATCTGAACTAGGAAGTGACCTCTATAACATAAGGATGACGGTGAAACAGTCTGAGATGTGTTGGAGCAGTTCAAGGCAGTGGGAAGAAGCATTTACAGTAAGGTATAGATATAGGGAAGGAGAGAGATAAGAGGCTAACTTGAGCTTGCTGAGAACCATATAGCTTGACTACAACTGTAAGTACACTGTCCTGTGACACTAAGTAAGTTCTTTGGTTTTATACTGTCTGTTGGGGTTTTCTAGGGATCCTTCTGAGGTCTTGTAATTGTGAACTAGTTTCCGAGCCATAATGTGCATCTCACACAGCAGATACAGCTATTCTGTAAAGACCAAGGTAGAAACAGTCTTTCTTTTTTCATCTTTTTAGGGGAATGGGTGCCAGCTAGATTAGGGTAGGAATTGAAGAGATATCTGTGTTCATTTGGAAGACCTAGTCATAATCATTACACATCAAAGGGGGGAAAAAAGCTTTAAGTTAAGTACAAGCTGTGTACAAAGGTCAGGCACTGGGAAGTCTGGCAAACCAAAAGCAAGGAGGTAGCAGGAGGGGAGAGTGTCCCTCAGTGAATTGAGGGATGGAAGTGTACTATTTCTCTTCTCAGTGTGTGCCTGAGTATTTATATGGTGAGTTACATGTCACACAGAGCAGTGCTGCGATCCCTCCCCACTTTCACGTGTTAAAGGAGCACAACATGTTCCTTCCTCTCAATCACGTGACTAAGTTGGAAACTTTCCTTTAGAATTTATTCAGGTCATATCTTGTCCTGCATTTCCTATTTTAGCATTTTTGATGGCGTATTATAGAAATGGGCTGAAACCTGGGGATAAAAAATCAGCTCATCAGGAAGACTAGTTACCTTCATATGCTATTTGCAATTGTTTCTTACAGTTCAGAAGTCAAAGTATTTTTCCTACTGACGTAATTGATGACCTTGCACCAGAAACTACCTATTGTTTGAAAGTTCAAGCAGTTCTTCCTTTGGACTCCCAAGAAGGCTTATTCAGTCCCATTCACTGTGTAAAAACTACCCGTAAAGGTACAGAGTAAAATAGTTTTGTCTTAAAATGGTTACTCAAGTTTAAACTGCTGGAATGTAAATTGTTCTAAAGCAACAGAAATAGGCAGAAATGCCAAGTTCCTACTGATTTTGGTGTAACAGTAATCTTGACAGTTATATACATTTTCTATTTTAAATCAATATAAAATATGTCAACTGTCAATATTAGAGTTTTAATAGTACAAAAAGGTTTTTGCTCTGAGGCAAGTTCTGTCCATTAGTTTGGATTGCAAAAACTACTTTTCTGTATTTTGGAAAACTGGATTTTTTTAATTAGTGAGTTTGAATCAGGAGGAAAGGGAGGTGTATGTAGGCAAAACAAAAGCCTTTTGTATATTTGGCACTAGATGAATGCATATAAAGTTGATCTAAGCTTAAATACTATTTTTTTGCAAACCTTGGTGAATTTATTATTACGGATTCTGAAGAATGGCTTAGTGGCAGTTTGTCACCAGTTGCTTGTTTTGCATGTCTAAATGTAAATTCTTCTGTGTGCGGTTCCAGTGTCAGTTTAAGTAGTTTTAAATGTTTATTTCAGAAAAAAAATAACAGTGTTGGAATGTAGAAAGTCAAACATTAGATTGAATGGATGGTACATCAAAATTACTTTATGTTTACAGGTGTATATTTTACACATTTTTCTCATTGAGTTATTGCTGAACCAGTTTATTTCTACTAATCTCAACATTTCTGTACTTAATTTTTTCTGAATTTATTTTTAACTTTTTTTTACTAAAGGCTTAATATGCAGTATATATCACAGACTTTGATTTGCCATCTTCATAATGAAAACAGACAATTTTCTTTTAATTATTGAAAGTGTACCATGACCATTTACGTGAGAAACGCACTCAGTGAGAAATTGTTGTACATAATATAAAGCTTTTCAGTAACTGTGGGTTTCATTTTCTTTTGACTTTGAGCAGTGAATGACCTACTCTGTGCAACAAATGTCAGCGTTCTTGCTTTGAATATGAAATTTTATCTGCATTGGAATAATCAGTATAAACAACATGTGAGCTACAATGTACAGTATCTCATGTGAGTTAAACAATTTCCATATCTCTGTTTAAACAGGTTATGTCATTCTAAATGCCATCCATTGTGTTTTGCAAATAGTTATTAGAAGCTAAAGTGAAATACTTAGCAAAAGTGGCTTAATGTATTCATTGAAACATGGGTAACTCATGGACACAGTGAGGCTTTTTAACACTCTGGACACAGCGTGGCTTTTAAAAGGATTGCATGTAACATCGTATCCTAGCATTTCAGGATACTAGGCTTCTTTTAAGAGGACTAAAAACCTGATGGAATGGACTACTAAGTATAGGCTAAGCAACTTTTTTAAAAGATGTACAGTTTGCCTTGCTTGGTATCTCTTTGAATATGATGAAATTAGATGAGTAGAAGTGAGCAAAAATGCAGGTGTTCAAGGTTTTAATTGCCAATATATTTGATTACTTCTAGTCAGATCCCAACATGAAAAAATCCCCATCATGTCTATAAGCCTGTATCTTAATATCTAGTTGTTGTACAAATATTGTGGCCAGCATCTAAATGAAAACAAGAGCTACCTCTAGCATTCTTTTGGAATTCCTTTGGCATGACAGAAAAATAATCAACTTAATAGAAGTATATGAAAAATCATAGTTTGGATTTTAAAATTTCTAAACCCGATATATAATTTTTGTATTGAGGCATGATTAAAGCACAAATCTGTATTTCCTCATCCAGTTAACGTCACTGTGTTCAGTGATAAATGAAAAGACAGTATTCTAAATATGAGAAATTTCTAAGAGGCCCATTCTTCAAAAATAAAAAAACCTGTGTAGCACAAGTGAACCTGCCTTTTTTTTTTTTTTTAGAATTCAAGGACCTCACATCAAAAACTATTAAAATATCTCTTGCAGTGGGTATCTGAAGAAACTTCATGATGATTACTCGGTGAAGTGGCTGAATGTACCTGGATGTGAAAACATCACTGATACACAATGCAATTTGTCATCTATCATCACTACTACTTCTGGATTTTATTACCTCCGTGTGCAGGCCATGAGTGAATATAACAAATCATGTTTTTCTAATGAAGTAAAAGTAGATCCTCTGGTAACAAGTAAGCAAATGTGTCTTCTTAAATTTTCATTTCTCAACAAACTTGTACCTAATGCTGTTATTTGCAAAAAGGAACTTGCTAGGTTAATAAAATCTAATACATAATTCCCCTACAGAAACTGTGGTGGGAATCCTGGCCTCATCAAGTTAAACATGAGTTTTTCCATGGTCTTCTCTGTTCAGCACAGCCAGTATTTCACTTTATTTAGAATCATATAATTTGCTTTACAAAATTAAACTACAAAGCATTATATGGCATTTTATAATCTCCCTGCATACCACATTAATCATGTGTGAGATTGTACTACAAATATCCCTAGTCTGACTTTTGCCACTAACAGTGAGCACTTGATATCTCAGAAAAGCAATGCCAAAATCAAATAATTTTGGAATCCACTGCCTCTATTTTCTTGTTCATCTGCTCTCTTCTCCTTCACCTCTCTACCCTTATGCAGTGCACTCCTGAATTTTGTGCTGAAGCAGTATTACATTGACATACAACCCTGAAGAGCTTCAAGAAAATGAAGTCTTAAACGATAGCGACATCCAAGTCAAAAATATGTAACGCTCTCCAGAGTGAAATTATAGTGATTTTTATCTTTGCACTTTTTTGATTTTGTGAGAAATGTGACCTTACTAAAATGTTTGACTTCAAAAAAAGTTATCAATCATAAATGTCAAGAAATGTTTATCTAATATGTAGGGTAATATCCCCTGCCTTCTATATTGAAGATGGGATCAATAGCTGTTCTGTAAGTCAGCTTTCCCTTGTCCAAGCTCTTGGTAATTAGATAACTCTTTAATAAGACAACAGTGACCTAGGTAAATAATTCAACAAAAGAAAACAAAACCCATAATACATCTCACTTTTTAACTGTACTATAACTGAGAAAGAGGGTATATGTGCAAAACAGGGCCCATAGCCCAATGAGATAAAGAAGTGTTCAGTAGTTTCACTTTGACTTGCACAGTTATTCCCACTCTCTGTGTATTTCGTGTCACTGAAACTTGCAGAAGCAACATATGAATGCGGAAAGAGAAAATATTTCAATTATTTCTCAGGACTCAAGATTCTGAATAAAGGTATTAGTCAAGTTAGAATTTTATTTAAAGTTTCTTTAAAATTGTCATAGATTTAAATTACAGTGTTTTATGCAATGTTTTTGTTTGTATTCTTTCAGTCTTACTTTTAACTTTTTTTTTTTTAAATGTTTTAAGATGAAATTGGCCCTCCTGGTGTAAAGGTGGACATCAGTGATGTTTTGCTCCATATCCAGATTTCTCCTCCAGGAGGATCTGAGAGTGAAGTCATGAGGGACCATTATGACTTGTCTTACCGGATTCTGTATTGGAAAAAATCACCAAATATTGAGGTATGAACTACCTAAATGTTTAAAACAGTATGTAAAATTTACTATGACTTAAACACTGAGTTTGAGTTCTCCTCAAGAAGCTTGTTTTCAAAGAGGCCCATATATGGTGTATCAATCATGCATTCAGTTTGTTTGGGTTTTTTGCTGAAAGATTCTTTTAAAAATCTGGTTAAGATTACTTTTATCACAAAGTAATTGACATTTTAATCTTTTTCCATTGATGGGGCTATACGTAATGATTTGCAGAATTGCACTGAGTTTTGTACAAGCTGCTATACATGGCTCAATTTTGAATAGAGGTTGTAGGGTTCTTATGATGCCATCTTTCTTACAGTATGACTCTGTGCACTCTTAATGTAGCATCCAGCCCCTCAACTTCTTTTATTTCTGTATTTGCAGTTTTATAGCTATGTGTATCATAAAACAATGGAGCCTTGCATGCTTTTAGCTCACATTTTAATGTATCTTCCATACTCTTACTCTTCATATAATTATATACATCTTATTCTTCCAATTCTTCTTTTCAGGAGGAAATCAAAATGAAAGAGATAAAACAGACAATAGGGACAGTCTCTGATCTAACACCCTCGACTTTGTACTGTGTAAAAGTACAAGCATTCTCAGAAGCTTACAACAAAAGCAGTCGTTTCAGCAAAGAGGAATGCATCAAAACACCTGGAGGTAGGTAGAGCTTGGGAATCATTACACCTCTGGAAATAAAATTGTTAATCCTTCGTAAGCCTTTGCAGGTCTCTAGTTAAAAAATATTTGCAGCAGGACTTAAATTAAGACCAAACAGTACATTCAAGACTCTCTTTACAGGGACGCAGTCATACAGATGACTTACCTGTACTTGCCATATATTCTTATATCCCAGTGTGGAAATCTCTCATTCTTTGGTCATTCGTACTAACTGGAAATAGAGATTAAAAGACCTAATTGTCTCATCTTGATTATTTTTAAAGTTATGTTATCCTGCTATGTATTATTTTTAGTATGTTCAAACTCTCTTCATTTTGTTAGAGATCATGCCAGAGAATATATTGCAAAAGAGAAGAGAGAAGAAGGGAGAAGGAAGCTTGAACTTAAGCACTGAATAGCTTATGACTAGCCAGATAAAAAGTTTCTTTGACTACCATATTTTACTATCAAAAGCTGAATTCCATCATGTAAACTCCTTCTACTATAAGGTACCTTAACTCCTGGAACTGAGCCTAGCCTGTTAGAAGGTTTTCCACAGTTCCTTGGTTAATACAGGAATGCAGGACCATAGACTTATGGAATGGTTTGGGTTGGAAGGGACCTTCAAAGATCATCTAGCCCAATCCCCCTGCTGTGGGCAGGGACATCTTTCACGAGATAGATTGCTCAAAGCCCCATCCAACCTCACCTTGAACAGTTTCAATGATGGGCCACCCACAACTTCCCCGGGCAACCTGTTCCAGTGTCTCCCCACCCTCATTGTAAAGAATTTCTTCCTTATATCTAATCTAAATCTACCCTCTTTCAGTTTAAAAGCATTGCCCCTTGTCCTGTCACTACAGGCTTTGGTAAAAAGTGTCTCTGTCTTTCTTATTAAGCCCCCTTTAAGTACTGGCAGGCTGCAATAAGGTCTCCCCGGAGCCTTCTCTTCTCCAGGCTGAACAACCCCAACTCTCTCAGCCTGTCCTCACAGCAGAGGTGCTCCATCCCTCTGATCATTTTTGTGGCTGGCTCATGTCCAGCTTTTCATCCAGCCCTATTGCGAAGTCGTCCTCAGCAGGGCTGCTCTCAATCCCTTCATCCCTCAGCCTGTATTGATACTGAGGATTGCTACAGCCCAGGTGCAGGAACTTGCACTTGGCCTTGGCTTGTTGAACTTCATGAGGTTCACATGGGCCCACTCCTCAAGCCTGTCAGGGTTCCTCTGGACCATGTCCATTCCTTCTACTGAATTAACTGTACCACTCAGCTTGGCGTCATCAAGTTGATGACACCATGTTTGGGAACTGAAGTGAAATTCATCTCACCTTTCTGTACTGACAAAGTAAAATCTTGTGCTGAGATAGTGTCTAGACTAGCAGTGTAGAAAATAACTGGAATATTCTTAGGTTTGATTTCTTCTTAAATAAGCATGTGAAAGGAAGAAATGCTCACTTGAAGATCCTTTTTCTCTCTGTTGCCTGTGTTGTAGTCATCTGAAGCTTACAATTGGAGTTCTTCTCCTGTCCAAGAAACCATATGGATGCTGTTGTGCCCCTGAAGACCCTGCAAGTCTAGGCACTTTCATCATTTCCTGTCTAAAAAATCATGGGCCACCTTCACTGTAGTAATTGCCCATTCTTACTCTATAGCCCATGGGAATTTCTTACTCCCGTATCTCTTGTCTTTTTAAAGGAGAGAGCTCTATCAATTACATATTATGTTCCGTGGGGTTAGGCCCTGTACACCACCAATAGTGCAGTAAATTTACATGCACCAGATGCTTCGTGGTAGCTGTTGATGTGCAGCCTTTTTGTCCTACTGTCAAATAGTGACATATAACTGGAATAGAACTGGGAATAACTGGATCTTGGTTCTGATCCTGTCCACAAATGCCTGCGTTCTTATATTGGATAAATATTTTGTGCTGTGTTTTTAATAAGTTATCTCAGATATGGGAATGGCATCGTTTTTGTAATTATTATCGTGGCTGGATATAGTACTGTAGAAATGTGAAATTTTGTGATTAATGCTGTATCAGATTTGGAGATAATCCATTCTTTAATCTTTGTAGTTTATGTATGCCTAGACTGAATGGTTTCTATTCACTTTTTTAGATAAAATGTTGCCTCTGATCATTTTAGCAACATTTGTAACTGCTCTGATTGCTGTCTTGCTTTTGGCTATGCCGCTCCTTTTTGCCATGTATCAAGCCTACAGTAAAATCAAATACGTGTTCTTTCCATCATGCCAGCTTCCTTTGAACATAGAGGTAAGATGAAGTTTATTTTTATCATTCACTAAGCAGATGTATTTTTAGAAAAATGAACAGAAAATACTATGAAAAGGTCTTTGTCTCCTGTGGTCTTATGGGTATGCCAAGATAAATTGTATAAGTTTTAACTAAGTGCAGGAATTCCTATGAAAAAAATGGGTTGTGTCAATTTCTAGAATTTTGTGATTAGCAAGTAGTTTAACTTTTGTTTTTTCTTCTATCTGTGCAAAACTGTTTCTAACGATCCTTCATTCCAGAGAGTGTGCATGTCTACCCAATGTGATAATGTACTTTTGCCCTGCTATGTGAGACCAGATATGTTTTCTCACTGTGTTATCTGGAAGAGCATGTACTAGCCTTTTTGCCATCTTTTAAGATTCAGAGGAGGTAAAAACACAGGCCTAGTCTTTACAGGAAATTTTGGTGTAGCAGGCAGCAAATGCTTCTACCATCTCCTGACCTAGGGGCCTGGATGGTCTTAAAGAGGGTAGAAGATGTCCAATTTCCAGCTCAGTTTGGCACAGGTAGTACTTAGCAGGGATCCTGTTCTGGAATGAACACGTAACCAACACGTAAGCGTAGGTATATTTTGAAATGTAGCAAGAACTGCTTTTCGCAGTACTTTCTTCTGTGTCTCTCAGAACGTTGATTTTGAGCAGTGTATGGCCTTCCAAACGTGTTGTCATCTCACCGCCGCTCTTAGGATATGTAGTATGCAAAGCTTGCTGAATAAATTTCTAATTTAAAACCAGTCTCATAATTTACAAGGGCTAATTTGAATTTAATTTATTTGTAAGACAGCATTTTAGTTGGTTTGTTCAGTAGAATACTGGTAAGATAATTAATGTGATGCATATTTAGAACCTTTTGTGATGGATTTGTTACAAATGACCACTTTGGAGAATAGATTTAAAGCATGTAGGGTAGACAGCAGTGCACCATTGCGGGCTGTGTAAGGCTTGGTATCCCACTGCAGCAGCTCGCTTTCTCTTTCTTCTTTCAGACTTTGCTTTATAACTGATAATGATTTGTAGACTTTTTGCAAATGCATGCCTGTCATCCCTGTGCGACCATGTGATCTTTGAAAGTGTTCTAAATTAGGATTTTCCCTTAGTTCTTGCGTGGCCTCATTCATAAATCAATGAAATACTGCAATTATATAGATGATTGACAACTACAAGCATTGTAAAAGAATGAAGATTAATGTTAGAGTTGTTTGTTAGTGTTCGACTGTGTGAATGCAGCTAACATCCTAACCTTTAGCTTGTGAACTTAGGGAAACAAATGGCATATTATAGGTGAAAACCTCATTATTTTACTGAATATGATAAACCAGATTTGTGCAGCTGTGGTGTTAAGCAGAATCATTATTTAGGTATTAGGTATGAATGTCCATTTCCCTTTTTTCTGCTTCTCTTTTTGCAGGGTTTTGAAGAACAGCTCTTTAGCAGTCCTTATCTGCCAGCTACAGAAGAACCAATAGAAAATTGTTCTATAATTGAGACTATCATCACAGAAGAAGTAAATCAAATTGGTTTTAAAGACTACAAACATTCTAAACAGAGCAGTGGAGATTCAGGAAATTACTCTAACGATGATGATACTTCAGGGAACAAAGTGTCAGAAGAAACGCTAGAAAAGGAAATAGTATAACTTTTAGGAAGATAAAATTAATGTAAGGGACCAGCAGCGTTATGAACACTTGAAACTGTTTTGTTATAGAAGTCACAGTCTAAGACAGACAATGTGACTTTGGGATTCCAAATCTGCACTTTGGTAATGGGAAGTTACATATCCTTTCTGCTACAAGCTAACTGAAGTTAAAACACAGTTGACTCCTCATACCGTATACCATTTTGACTGACTTTTCATCATATGATAAAACAAATACCATCTGCCTAAAGAGGAGCAGATCTGTACACTTTATATACTTGAACCTGGTAATCTCAGCAGAAGGCTACGCTGTTCCCCAGGAAGAGTTTCTCACTATCTTAGAGGTTGTTTTGAATGCCAGCATGTACTACTGTGACAGAAACCTTAAATTCCAGTATTGAATCTTACCATGTTTACACAGGCAGAAGGAAATTGATGCCGGATTTTTCTGATGTTCTCTTCCAGCCCCCTCGGGCAGTGCTTTTTGGCTTAGTGGGTCCAGAGCAAAAGATGCGAAGAGACCAACGGTGGCTTCAGTGAGGTGGCTCCTCCGAGCCTCCTTGTAGGATTCCTTGTGGCCATGGCTGCGGGATGCTCCCAGTGCCCGCTTGCTTGTTCACATAGCTGTGTCCCTGCATCAGGGTGCTCTCCCCCCACAGCACTTGGGAATCTGGGCAGGTGTGGGGAGGGGAAAAGGCAGGAAGGAGGTTCGCTTCACTTTAGGATAAAGAAAAATTTCATAGTGGAAGCTCTTTGTAAATAGAGGTTGGGTCAAATTGATTTACACTGCATTTGGGATAAAAAGCAACAAACTTCCAAGACAAATGTACACTGCAAAAAGAAACTAAATGTTTCTAAAACTAAATGTTTCTAAACTAAAACTGTTAAGAGGCATAGTCTTGATTATTTTTTTTTTCCCCCATGGCTAGATAAGCAGAAGTGCAACATATTTACTTCTAACTGAATTGTATTTAGAAATGTGAATCTCTTAACAAGGAAGAAACTTGTTTCTATAGTTACAAGGAATGGTGAGGATGCTTGCACTGAAAGCTTTTTCAGCTTAGTCTCATTTTGCCAACAGACTTTTCTGTGTACAAATTATAAGGATATGCTGCAATAGTATTTTTATTATATATGCCACTTTCTTCTGAGGAAGTAATTTTTTTTAAGTAGCTTATTTTTTATGAAGAAACTGATTTAGAGTAAACTGGTTTTGAGCTTCAGGTGGGCTGTTGTTTATTGTAACAAGCAACTGTTCGTGTTTATATATATATAATTTTTTTTTTATTATTTTGAAGATGTGATCTAATTTTATACATTTTCTGTTCCTGTGTTATTATGAAGAACATAATAAATTTTGCACATTTACTTCTTTATCCCTTTCTTGGTTCCATATATTTTTGATCCAGGGACATTGAAGCTACACCATGAATACTTAGGAAGTTCCCATGAGTCTTCAGTTATTGTCCTTCCTAAAAAACCCAATGTGAAGAATATCATATATAAATTTAATTAGGGCTTACATTGGGAGAGTTGCGTGATTTAGACAAATGGGGAAGAAAGTGATAATTCATTTTCTGAATCAGGGCTTAAAATGAGAACACTGAACGTGAGCATTCCAGTCGTTATGGTCTTTGGTAAATAGCTTCTGTCGTGAATTGCCGTGAGATACTTACAATGGTATGAAGTTCTCTGTATTTGTGTGGTCTCTTCAGTGTAATCTAAGTTTGCATAAACAAGTTGTAGCCCCACAGCAACTGTTCCTCTTCATGATTTATGCTGTAGCTGACCTCACTGGGTGGGTTTTTTTCCTGGACAACTTCAATTTCAGTCTTTTTTTTCTTATTTGTTACCTACTTTACAGTAGGGTTTGGGGACATATTTTCATTTGAGGGATTTTCAAAAGTGAAGCTATTCTAAACGTGTTCACTGAAGTAAGGTGTGGTGGGTCTTGGTTTTGCTTTGTTTTTCCCTGCTCATCTTGTGAGAAAGTTTCATCTGATACTTCAGCAGCTAACTGTGGGTGATTGTTTTGATAACTGTTTCCTGTGACACAAGATTTTGTTTGCTTTCCAGAGTTTTGGCGCTCTGGAAGAAAGCTATTTACTGTGAAGGATTTCACTGTCAGTTTTCAAATGATGGCAGTCTACAGTGAATGTTTCTGAATTCATAATTTGCAAGCAATCTGCATTTTTTCTTCAAAATGTAGAACCAAATGAATGGTAATGAATATATATGTATGCTTGAAGTTTGATTATAAGGTGGGCCACAGGAAATCTTGTGTCGGTTCTTTTCAATATTGCCAGAAGAAGCAAAACCAGAACTGTAAGATGGAAATACTCATTCTATCTATACAATATCTAATACTTAAACTGAAAAGTTAAGTTCCTAAATACCTGAGGCAATCACATTCTGATATGTTTCAGATGTATCCGGATATAGTAGAAAAATAATTTGATAGAACTTTTACAGTTCAACTTCTAAGAGGAGTTTATTACAGTGCATAAAGGAACTTTGTTTAAATGCCTATTTTCAAGTTCCCAAGTCTTTCTAAGAACCCTTGAAGTGTTTTCTTTTTCCTTGTTCAAAATATTTCTGACAATAGAAAGCTGATCTTTATTATTAAGTGGGATAAGATACAACCCTGTTAATAATATACAGAATACTTTCAACTGGACAACGTAGACTTGGATTTGTCCGTATTGATGATAAAAATCACAAGCAAGTTAATCAAACCCAGTGTTTTTGAAACTAGATGTACTTAACCAAGGGTGATGTTGTAGCATACGTGCAATATAATCAGCTTTAAGACTCTGTGTGGAGAGGGGTGACGAAGCAGAAGTTTTCTGTCATGGGATTGTTAATTGAAAGGAAACCAGCATCTGGTTATGATTTTGCATATTGACTCACACATGCTGTGACCGTCCCATGACTCTGCCTTTGGAATGGATTTTGTTATAAGGATTGTTTTTTATATATATAATTTCAAAATCATGTGCTTGATGTTGAAGCCTGGGTAAGAACGTACAGATAAAAATACAGTTGGTAAAGAACCCCTTCCATGGTAAATCTGGGATATTGGATCATTTTTGTAGGGATGCTTTACTGACTACTAATTGTGCAGTGCCATTAGCACTTGACTGTACTTTGTACAGAGGTACTTGGCATATTTATAAGTGTTAGGTACTGCCTTTTGACACAGGGACTTTATTTAAAAACCAAAAAATCTGAAGACACGTGACAGTACGATTATTTCTCATTTCGCTAGGAATTCAGTGTCTTTTGAGCAGGGGGAAGCAGAGGAGATCTGCAGAGGAGGAATTGCAGTAGATAGCTATGGTCTATTCTTCCTGGCAGTGTAAGTATTTATTTGAATGCCTGCCAGTGATGATTTTCAGTTAAGATGAAATTCATAGGTACGGTAGTACCTGCTAATGGAGCATTCAATGTAAAGGAAGAAATGTAAGTGAGTCTTGGGGCGTACAAGCCTTTCTGAGGGATTGATGACTTTCATGATCTACCTTTACTCAGCACTGGTGAGGCCACACCTAGAGTGCTGTGTCCAGCTCTGGGCTCCCCAGTACAAGAGGGACATGGACACACTGGAGAGAGCCAAGCAATGGGCCATTAAGTTGGTGAAGGGACTGGAGCATCCTTCCTGTGAGGAAAGACTGGGAGAGCTGGGACTGTTCAGCCTGGAGAACAGAAGGTTCAAGGGGGGATCTCATCAGTGTATGTAAATGCCTGAAGGGAAGGTGCAGAGAGGACAGAGCCAGGCTCTTCTCAGTGGTGCCCAGCGGCAGGCCCGGGGCAACGGGCACAGACTGAAACACGGGTGTTTCCTCGGAACATCAGGGAACATTTTTCACTGTGGGGGTAACCGAGCACTTGGGCAACCCAGGGAGGTGATGGAGTCTCCAGCCCTGGAGATACTCAGAAGCCATCTGGGCACGGTCCTGGGCAATCAGCTCTAGGTGGCCCTGCCTGAGCAGGGGGGTTGGACCAGATGCTCTCCAGAGATGCCTTCCAGACATGCTTTGAGTCTGTGATTCTCTCTTTTTGGACAGTATTGCAAAACGTTCAAGTAGTAAACTAAGCCATTTTTTGTTCTTCTTTGGTTTTGGGTTTTTTTTTCCAGATGCTCTGTCAAGGCCCCATTAAAAGTATAATTGCAGCAAACTTCAAACCGTGAGGTAGTTGATAAACAGTCACATGAAAATAACTGGTCTCTGTGCTGAGCAGTTAAGCTAGAGGAATACCAGCCATGGCATAAGTCCTCCTGATAATCGGAGTTTGTTAGGGTTGCAGGTAAGACTGGGAAATTTCTGACAGATAGGCTTGTGGCACTAAAAGAGATATAATTTGGTAAATTTTTAAGGAAAAAGATACTCTCATTGCAGGCTGATAGTCATCAGAATAAAATGAAATTTCTATAATGCTTAACTTGCATTTCTTAACTGTCCACCTGTCCCTGCCCCAAATTTCCCTACTCATAACACCCAACTAAAAGTGCAGTGATACGTGTTACGAATCCCAAGGCATCGGATGAAATGCCACTTTTTGACAAATGGTTTATTCACCGTTGCTGTCTGTGACAGAGAATCTGAACTTTCAAAGACTTGCTTAAGTGATTGCTCACACACAGAGTACTTTAAGTAGGTTTCTAGAAATGTAAGCAAGATTACCCTCAAGTTTTCTAGCAAGACATCTTCTCCTGAGGATATATGTGCAGTCTATAATGCAGAGCAAACCAATAGAAAACACAGTTGGTCTATGTAGAACTTCTTCCTCTTGACGTTGCCAGCATGTTTGATACTGCAGCTAGCTGGCAAGTGAATCTCACACGGGTCTCGGTGAGGAATTACATCAGAGTAGTCGTGCTCTTAGTAAGCTCTTGTTTTCATCACAGATGATATTTCCTAGGCATCTAATATCCCATTTTAAAAAAAGCAACATGACATTGTGGGGTGTCAGGACAAATTATTTTACTTAGCTTCTTG